AGGGGCCGGGCAGGGCTCAGGGGCCAGGCGCGGCTCCTGAGCCTTTGTGTCGCTGTCCCCGGCGCTCGTTTTGTCGCTCCGTGTCGCAGCGTGGTTGGTGGCAGAGCAGCTTATCCCGCTGCTCGTCTCATCCAGACAAGGCTCCGTCCTGTGGGCTCTGCCGCCGCCCCCCTCCCGAGATCCGGCTGCTTTGGGGTCACTGCTGCCAACTGTTATCAGTCTAATGAATTAAGACATCTCTAAGATTAGACACGAGGGGGTTTTTTCCTCCTGTAGGCTCGCGGTGTGTGGAGGCTGGCTCTGAGTGCAGATTCTGTGGGAATTGCCGGTAAAAGATCCTTTTTATTCTTGACCAAGGTGGCTGTGGCTCCCAGGGGAGAGACCCCTCAGGTGGGCTCTCGGTTCTACAAAAGCCTTTACGTGCCTCTCGCAGGTTGGCTCCGGGCATCAGAGGAAGGAGAGCACAGGATTATTCTGGCTGAAGTGCTCAGCTTCAAGACTTGACTTTGTTCCTCGCAGCTTGGAGGGATATGAAGCCAATTGGAAAAGTGCTTTGTGCTACAGGGGTTGTAGCTGGGCTCATAGCTTTCTTCTGGGGAGATGACTTTAACCCAGGTAGGCTCACCAGGGGGATGATTTCAAGCTGAAGTGTAAGTCACACAAGGGAAGAGGTTGAATTTCCAAACTTTGCTCATTCCTGCCCATAGTCTTACAAGAGTTGGTGGCCCCAAAGCAGTGTTTCATTCCCAGAAACAAAAAGAAAAAAAGAGGAAGACAAAATGGTCTAAGAGCATGGATCCTGCTGTCTCTGTTATGCAGAAGGCACATAGCCTGGTTTCTGGTTTATGTTGTACAGCTTCTTAGAAGGTGAAAAACAACTTGGTTCTTGAAAGATTTTGGTCTAGCAAAGGCCCTGTGACACAGCTAGCTGACATGTCATTGCATCATCAGTCCTGCCTCTTCCAGTTTTGGAGAAGCACCAAGAATTTTGAGCACTTAGGTGCATCTTCCTTCTTTAAAGCTCTGCCAGTAGTTAAGGGCAGCTCCTCTGCTGCTTTCTTCACTTACTTCTGTATCTTTTATTCTCTTTCCCATAAAAAAGAGAGCCTGTCTGGTGCCCGTGTTCTTGTGACTGGAGCCAGTGCTGGGATTGGAGAGCAAATAGCATATCACTATGCCAGATTTGGTGCTGAAATTGTGTTGACTGCCAGGAGGGAAGCTGTGCTGCAGAAGGTAAGAACCTTGTCCTTTTATGGGGGAAGACATGAGAGATTCAGGCTTTTACCAAACCAACAAAAAAGTTAGTTGTCAGCATGATAAATTTTCTTTTGGAACTGTTAAGCATAAACCCAGAAGTCAAGTTGGCCTGTACAAGAAGATGCAGTGCCTGAGCTTTTGACTGCCAGAACATTTATTTGTATGAGGGGATGGTGTGAAGCTGCATCAGGGAAAGTTCAGGTTGGACATTAGGAAAACGTTCTCCACTTAGAGAGTGACCAGTCACTGGAGTAAATTCCCCAGGGAGAAGTGGTCAAGGCACCAAGTCTGTCAGAGTTCAAGGAATATCTGGGCCACATTTTTAGTGATATGGTTTGGTTTGAAGGAGTTCTGTGAGGAGCAGGGATTTGGGTTTCATGATCCTTATGGGTCCTCTTCAATTTTAGATACTCCATGAACTACAACTCCTGTGCAATATTGTGCAGCTTTTCAGAGTCCAAATTGTTCTATTTCTAGCTGTTTTGTTAAAAACTCAAGACCTTTTGTAGGTTAAATGCCTTTTTCACCAACTCAAACAGATGAGACTTCTTCATCTGTACATTATGAAAAGGGATAATATTTAGAAAGGGTAACTCTTTAACTGTGGGGATGTGTGACTTCCAAGGAAAGTTCTTCACTGTGAAATGGTGCAAAAGGTGAATTGGGGACAGTGAGCATAATAATAGTTCCTAATGACTGGAAGGCATTATTTCAGCAAATAGCTAAAAGTGCATATCATTGCCAGGCACATTCACACACTCAGCATAGCAAAGGAATTATGAAAGATGAATTCTTTTCCAGTTAGTTTGGAAAAAAGAGAAGAACTTAATGTAAAGCATAACCCTTGTTCCTGAAGATTTCTCCTGAAGAAGATTGGTTTTTTTCCCAGTGAATCTTGATCCTGTCTCAAAGTAGATTGTTTAAGCAGACAGTTAGAGGTAACCCTTTGCAGGATGCAGAATGAGCTCTCCATGGCCCAAACAGCAGTGGATTTTAAATTAAAGTGTGTCTGTGTCCAGAACTGACTCTCACTGACTGTGGTGTGTGCTTTATGATGCACATTTCCCCTATTCTTTTTCCAAATAGTTTAATCTTTGTGTTCTTTTTCAAGGTGATGGAGAAATGCCTGACACTTGGAGCAAAGAAAGTATTTTATATCCCTGCAGATATGTCTTCCCCTTCAGAGCCTGAAAAGGTGGTTCAGTTTGCTGTCCAAAAGCTGGGTAAGCATCCTGGGCATCTCTCTGGCTTTCAGCTGTGTGCACAGTTCTCATTCTAGTAGGAGCTTCCTGCTTTAGTTCCCTGAACTGAGAAAGGTTTTAAGGACATAAATGTACCACCAGAACTAAGTTCTGAGCCTGAATCATGCTGAAACAACATTTCAGGGAGTTGTTGTCAGTTTTCCTTTCAGTTCTACTCCTGAGGAGCAGGATATGCTCCCAGGTGGGCATATTTAATCTGTTTTCATAGTAAAGTACTTCCCAGCCTTTTGAAGGAGTGGTTCAGCCCTCCTGGCTCTGGTTGATGATGAGGGGATGGGCCCCTTGTGTGACTGTTTTTCCTGCTGTCCAAGGGGGCCTGGATTACCTCGTGTTGAACCACATCGGCACGAACCGTTTCCAGGAGTGGACTGGAGATGTGGAATACACCCGCTGGCTCATGCAGGTGAGGCTTCCCAGCTCACCTGGAACTGGTTGAGCCTGGCATCTCCTGGGACAGCTTTGGGAAGCTCCAAGGCAAATCCAAGTCTGTGGCAATGGTTGAGAACAATCTTTTTACTTTATTCCGGTTTGAAGTCAAGCAGTTTGGAGGCTTTGTTGCTAGAGAGGTGTTCAGCTCAGATGTTGTACATTTGTGAAGAGGAATGTTTGGGAAGAACTTTAGACTTCTTCCTTCTGTCCTTCTTACCTCCCTTTAGCCCAGGGGTTTAGGATTGATGGGCAGTTCCAGGCAGTTGTGTTTAATTGAGGAAGGTCTGTAAGTGAGCAGCCAGCACTTCCTACAGGTCTATGCCAAGTGCACAATTGCAGAACACAAAGTTGTTTGAAATGGTGTCTGCCATTTGAGTCTCTATTCACAGATTCAGAGTTTTCCTGTAGAATCACCCTGGTGCCAGGTTTTGGGGCCATGGAAATGAAGAGCTGTTTTCTTGATTCAGTCTTCTTCATTCAGGTGGGTCATACTAGTTTCATTTTGGAAGGCGGCTTTTTGCTGGAGAGTGAGAACTTAGGAACGTAGGTAAGAAACTCTTATCATTTAAGAAAGCAGTCAAGCTCTGAAGATATGCTGAATTTTGTCCTTCATTGTAGTCTGAATTCAGTCAAAAGAAACTTAAAAGGCGATCAGACTGAGACTCAGTGTCTTTGGTAGGGGTTGCAGAGTAAAGAATAGCATAAAGCAGGGACAGCTAATTATATCTTGTCAGGAAATCTGACAATTGTTATTGTGACAATATGTTAGAGCCCAGGAATAACCTTTGCTCTGAATCTTCTTCACTGCTTTTTCTGGAATCCGAAAGACTCCTGGATGCAATGTTTGTCCCCATCTTTAGAGGTGATTTTTCTCACTTGCTGTTTGAAAAGACAATTCCAAACCATGCTCCTTTCCGTTTCTGACCACTCTATTACAGACTTTCTTGGCTCATGCTTTCAAACCCTCTACCTTCTTCCATGTCTACATTTATCGTTCCAGGTGAATTTTTTGAGTTATGTGGCTCTTGCAACAGCAGCTCTTCCCACCCTGGAGAAGAACAGAGGTGCTCTGGTGGTTGTTTCTTCCCTCACAGGTTGGTGACTTTACCTGAAGTGGAAGCCATGGTTCCCAGTACTGTTCATGTATACTGTTCATATTTCTCTGTTCAACTCCTAAACACAAACTTTGCTTTTCATAGTATATAACAATATTATAGTAAATATATAATAATATAATAATATGTGTACTAATATATAAAGGGAGACTCACCTGAACAAGAGCTGATACAGTATAGCAAAGGCTGCATCTTTTCCCAGACTCCCTCTCCATGGATCCTCCTTACACCCAGTTTCCTGGTGTTTTCCATTTTCTCTTTCCCCTTTCCAGGGAGAATGCCCACTCCCTTCACCACTTCTTATTCTGCCACCAAGTTTGCACTGGATGGATTCTTCGGCTCACTGCGCCATGAGCTCATCATGCAGAGGAGAAATGTGTCTGTCACACTGTGCATTCTGGGCCTGATTGATACTGCTTCAGCACTGGAGTACACCAGGTATGTATTTGTCTGCAGGAACACATCTCTTCTTGAAAGCATGCAAAAAAATGCACAGCAACTCTAAGAGGGCTGTTTGGGGAGAGTGCACCTGCCTGGGCACATCACAGGGGTTGTTCATTATGGAACAGGAAGCCCTGTGGGGTCAGTGTGCCAGGCTCAAACCCCAGCCTGGCTCTGAGTGACCCTCTGCCCATTCCCTTGCAGGGGCAAAGTTCACCTCAGTGCCTCCCCTGCTCCCGAGGCCGCGCTCGCCATCGTCCGCGGTGGAGCCGCTCGGGCACACGAGGTTTTCTACCCACGGTGGCTGCAGCAGCTCTGCTGCCTCTGGGCTCTGTTCCCCAGCAGCGGGAACCAGGTGCTGCGGACTTTCTATAACTACAGCAGTCCCTAAGGGATGCCCAGTCTCATCCTACATCCCTTCTAATCATGTTCCTGCCATCCCACTCAACCACTGGTGTCCAGCAGGAGCAGGGCAGCAGTGATGGCAAAGTCCCCTTTTCCTAACATGACCTGTGGTCTCTCATCTGCTTCAGCCATGGTTCTGCTGCTGCTACCCATCAGTCAGAGATCTTTCCAACTGTTCACTCTGCCTTAGCCCTCCTCCTTCAGCCTCACCTGTCTGCTTTGATTGCAGCCAGCCTTTTCTCAACCCCTGTCCATCTGCACAGGATGTCCTGGAATGTCTCTCCTCCTGGGATGTCCTCCTCCACTACTTCATTTTGGATTCCATGAACCCTCTTGCTTCCTCTAAAGTAGAATTTTAATCTCCAGTTTAATAAAACAAGTTTTTAATGTGTTGGTATTATGTGTTGATGCTTCCTCTGTGAAGAAATATTGGTCCCTGGATTCTGTGGGCCAAGGCCTGTTTGCTGACCCCTTTTGACCTGTTAAATTAGCCCAGGGCTTTGGCAATGTCTTCAGGTGTAAGCATTACCTAAAAGCAGGTGCAACTAACAAGATGAAGTAGAGCCCCAGTTACTTAGCAAGTAAAACTTTTATTAAATAAATTTAGGATTTTTTTTTTTTTGACCAGAGTGAGGAATTTGACATTGACAAAGCTTGTATCGCACCTGTAACATTGTTCAGTCACATCAGTAACTGTGATGGAAGAAACTGTAAATGCTTGTTTTAAACCAGCTTGACCTAGGATTCCCAAAGTCCTTTTTTTCCCATTTTGCATTTGTTCATATTTTTTCTTTTTTTTTTTTTTTGTTTTGTTCAAAATTAGACTAAGTTTAAACTTCATGAAATTACTTGTAGCAGAAATAAAGTACATTATACAAATCACATACATAATAGATGTTAAGTATAAAAATGGTATTTACAATAAGTAAACATGGACTATAGAAACACACAGACTCTCACAGCTTCATTCACCTCTCATAAACTCTCAGCGTCAGACACAGAAGGGTGGTTGAGGAGATGTGAAGGTACTTCAAGGACTGTGCCACAAACACCTGAACAAAGGGCAAACTGGAGGAGAATGAGAGTTGGCTGAGATTCTCCAAAATCCCCATAGCTCACTTCAGTATCAATTGCACCAACTTTGCCCCACCAACTCTCTGTCCCTATTTCAATGTGCTCACACACCCTCACACACACACCAATGTTTGTGGTACCTTATCAAACTCTGGAATATTGAAATCGTTCATTCCTAATCAATCTGGGGTTTGTTGGTCTGCTCCGCCTTGCTTTCCTTTCCTTATTTTTGTAGAAACTTGAAGAGACAGTTCCACACTGTTCAAGGGATGTGCCTTGTCAGGATGACACACACCCCCCCATTCCCAGGGGATCTTTTTAAAATCCAGTTCTGAACTACATTCTGTGCTTTAGAGTTTGTGTATGTAGTGTATAGAGCTGTCCCTACATATATATATGTGTGTGTATATATATATGTATATGCTGCATAATGTATAATCTGTCTCTTGGAGGGGGTGCTGGGGGAAAAAATCCCAGAATGGAACCCTCTTTCATCCTGTTTTCCTTGCATCTGCTGGGGAAAGCTTTGCAGCGAGTGCATGAGGAGAGTCCTCCTGCTGAATTCAGAGGGAGAAAGCGTCCTGTGTCATCTGGAACGGGAACTGCCCACTCCCCAGTGCTGGTATCCGACACAGGGAGGCAGTGTGCAGCCCCTGGGAGCTGTGCTGGAGATTGCATCTGCTCACACTCTCATCTTCTCCTGCCTTCATCAAGAAAATGCTGTTGCCATGGAGAGCTGTGAAACACGGATCTGTGCCATGTGTGGGGAGGCAGTGCAGTTCCTCTAAGTAAGGGGACTGTTTTCCTGTGCTTTCAGCCTAATCACAGAGTGCTCAGGGTAGGGGCTGGCACCACATCCCAGGAGCTTTGTCTGCAGGAGCCCTTGGAAAGGTAAGACAGAGCTCTCCAGATCCTTAACCAGGCTGGTGCTAAGGTGGATAAGTGACTCAAGCTGAGCAGCTGACTGTGCCCTAATCCTGGAGGAATGTATTTCTCCTTGCTTGTGTTGAGCAGAGAGATGTGCTCTCTCTCTCTCTCTCTCTCATTCTCTCTCTCTCTCTCTCCATCCAACCCACCCCCAGCCCCCTCTCTCCAAAATGTTCAGGCCTATCTGCAGTGCGTGCTGAGAAGACACTGTTGCAAAGGCAAACCCCTCATTTCCAGTACCTCTTGCAAGCAGTCAGTCTCTGAATGGAAAAGTTTGGTCCTGTGAGCTAGTTTAAAAAAAAAATAGAGACTGTATATATTTATAGTTATCTATGAAAGGGCCAGAAACAGAGCAGGAGGGAGGGAGGGACGGAAGTAAATTTCCACACATCACTGCAGTAACCTAGAGACACACCATGGGTTTGCTTGGTCCATGTTCTCCAGCCACACCCCGAGAGGAAGAGCTCCGTGTCCCAGGGGCTGCTGGTTTGCTGGTCCCTTTGCTTTGCACCACGTTAGCAGCAAATATGCGAGTCCAGGCGTGGCAAGAATCTTCCTCCTGGGCAGATATTGAGCCTTCTCTTTAATTGCATGTCTTGGAGAGGAGGGGAGGAGGAAGATGGGGTGGGTAAGGTGGGAAGCCGAGGAAGTAAAGGGGTGGTGTCAAAAGAGTCGATAAATTTACTGGCCTCTCTGAAAATCAACCTGAAGCAGAAATTCTTCCTCTGGACTTTCCCTTGACCTGAACAGAAAGGGAGGAGGGAGGGAATTGGGAGATTAGGAGGATATCTATGCAAACCTCAGGCTTTGAACTGCTGCTGCTGCTTAAACCTGGAAGACTGACTCAAATCAGATCAGCCCTCCCTTGCTCCCCATCTGCAGGCTGGCAGGAGCTGGCTCTTGGACAGCAGCCCTTCAGGGTCTCACCTTTTCTCTGCTTTTCTGTGATCCCTGTGAATCATGGGATTCTCTTCTTACCCCAGAAAGCAATCTCTGCAGACTAACTTCAGGGCCCATGTAACAACTGAAACTACTGGGGTTTAATGCTTTTTTAGGCAGTCAAAAACTTTTTGGGAGCAGTTGGACAGCAGAGTAAAACCTTGCTCAGACCACAAACAGGCCACTGGAACCATCTGCCTGTCAGGGCCCCGAGGGCACCCACCTGCGCTGTCTGTCCTCACTGCCCACAGCTCCAAAAGTCTCCTTACAGCTCTGTGCCATCAGCCTTTGTCTGACACACACATGGACGTGCCAGTCACCACCTGTCCATGGACCTGTCCTGTCCATGGATCTCACTACCTGGGCTCCAACTCCTGGACTGGCTTCCCAGCTCGATGTTTATTAATGTCATTATAGACCTGCCTGGCAATCACTGGACTATGTCTGACCCTGTTCACCTTCACCAGACCTGACACTGATCTTGAGCCTCTGGCTTGGCTTTGGGCTTGCCCCATTGCCACAAATTTGCCTGATGATTGTTGAACCTGGCCGTCATCTCCAGGCCTGCTCTGGTCACCCTGCTCAGGTGAAGCCTCTGCCCCACCAGCTGTGCCACTGTTCCACTCCTGGTCTCCCACTCTGCAGGGAGCAGCTGGAGCCCTGGCCAGAGCTGTGCCCTGCTGGGAGCAGTTTACCTGTGCTGCAGAAGTGACTCCTGCTTGCTCACTGCTGTCAGTAGGGATGGTTGGCATCCTTGGGCCGTTTTAACTGCACCTTCAAGCGTTTCATGCCAATCTGGAAGCCATTCATGGCCTGGATAGCAGTCTGTGCACTGGATGGGTTGTCAAAGCTCACAAAACCTGCAGGAAGGACACAGGATGGATGACAATGGGACTGTTGGTGCCATGCCCAATATGAGTGTCATTGTCATTGATCATGCTTCCCTTGCCTGCACTTACCAAAACATTTGCTCTGGTTGGTGGCACGATCCATGAACACCTTTGAGGAGATGATATTGCCAAAGGGCAGGAACATCTGCATCAGCTCATTGTCTCCAAACTCCTGGGGGAGATGGTAGATGAAGAGATTGCAGCCTTCAGGACCTGCAGGTACGGGGTGATGGGGAAAGACAAAACAGAAAGCCCCCAAAGGGCAGGGGAAGAGAAATGGGCTCAACTCACAGCTCAGCACTGGAGGAGAGCCCTAGCACTGCCTCCCTCTGCTCTGATCTCCCCTTGCTTGTCTCTGTCACTGCTCCATGAAGGGATCTGAGGGATCTCAAAGAGCAACTGGGAGACTCAATACAAAACTAGAGTTTCTGGAGAGCAGATTATCTTTCAAAGCCTGTCTAGCTCCTACACAGGGTGCTGGACACAACTGTGTGAGTGTCTGGGTGCTGTTTTGCTGGAAGCAAATCAGCTGAGGTGAGAGCTCCCAGCTGTCACAGTCCTAGGAGAGCAGGAGACACTGCTGTGTGAAAGCTGTTGCTGTAGCACTCCCTGCAGTGTTGCCTTCAGTCCAGAAGCCACAGCCTTTACTGGAAACCTCCTGGCTGCCACACATCCAATTTATGGGCTGACCTGGTCCTGTCCACTCTTTCACTTGCTCCTTAGGAGCACAAGAAGCTACTCCCTTGCTGATACTTGCTCCACCAATCAGGTGTAGAGAGAGGATGCCTTTGCCTCCAAATTCTATTCAAGCCAGTTCTGAATTAAGTTGAAAATAAATTCAGTAGGCTATGAAGGTTGAAAAGAGAGGAGAGTACTTGGAGAGGCTGGTTTGACTGGTTCCACTGTGCTTTTGGCACCAGCAAAGAGGGGGATGAGTGCACTTTTCCCCTGACTGCATAGGGAAGGTGCTGACTCTCATCCCCTTTGGTGTTAAAGGTGTTCCAGGGCCTACTGCCCCTTTGCACCTGGCAGCATCTGGCCAGATGTGAGGTCAGGAAACATCCCGTGATCCTTCCCAGACCACTCACTGCAGACATGTGGTTGTTTCCATACCCCAGCTCCAGCATTAAAGACCAGTGGACAAAAATTAGTGCTGTCTCCTCTCCATCTGCTCTGTCATGCAGAAGATGAACTCCACAAATCCCACCTACACCACTGGACACCCCTATTCCCACTCTGATCCTCACCTTCTCGCTGCTGCTGCTGCAGGATGGGAGGCTGCTGAGGGATGCTCTGTGCAATGGGGGTGATGGTGGTGGTTGGATACACAGCTGTAGCCCAAGGAGACAGAACAAACCATTTACCTGAGGATCTGGTCAGCCACACAAGGGCCTGAGGGAGACAAGGGAAGCTGGTACCTGCATACTGCTGAACTCCTGTGAAGGCTGGGTGCAAGGTCTCTGCTACTGAAGGGCTCTGGGCTGCAGAGAGAAACACAATCAGCACATGGAATCACTCATGCATTCTGTGTGTGTGTGTGTAGTGTGTGCAGTGTTGTTTCCCACCT